TGCCAATTAATTTCGGAGCTAACAATATCTCATTTCCATTTTTGTCGTTGAAACTTCCTTTGTTATGTTTACAACATAATAAACTTCTGAATGGGAGTTATGTTTTTTATCAATACCATAACATATTTCAAGAGGGTATATTTTTTTTCTGTTTAGTCGGTAAATAAAAGGCGAGGCAGGCTCGACCGTAAGGGTGCTCGACAAAGGAATAACGCCACATGAGTGTGCTGACTTTTACTCGAGCCAGCATCGAGTATTCAAATATACTACATGATCATTTCAACACTTGTGATGTTAGAGAACAAACAATCATTGTTTTGATGTGTACAGAATTATAAATAATTGCTTTAAATATGGTTTCGTGTTTTCGATTTTTTCGGCTTCGTTTATATTATCAATTATCGATAAAATAAACTATTATTATAGTTAAAAATACAAGCACTTTTATTTATAATTTGGAAGTTTATTGTGTTTTCAAATGAGATTAATTGTTTTGGTTTTAATTTATATATTTAAACAGATATTTTCAATGATTTTTTTATTGTTTTATTTTTAAAATGAAAAAAACTTTCTGATGTATCTTTTTATATTTTTTATGGAAGTTTTTATGTTTTTTGATTAAAACATTACGCATGCATGTACGTTTGGCTTTAAATATACATACTCTTTACTATTGACAAAATCAGTTTGTTGTTGTTTTTAATTATATCATTATAGTAATTCTTAAAAACCAATTTTTAATTTATCTGTTTTATTATTTATAAAGTATTTTCTTGTTGTTCCAAATTTTGGTAGTGATTTTTACATAAACTATACAAATAACAAATAAAATAATAAAATTCACATCAAAATATAATTATAAAGTCGAAGACGAATAATAATAATGCTAAAAACATAATTTATTATAAATAAACCATTTTGACAAACAATTAATATAAGGTGAATTCGGCTCTTTTTATTTTTGAAAAACTTCTATTCATTTATTAGTCAAATTTGCTACATCATTTATACATGTATCAGGTTTTTTGATTTATCGAATTTACACAAGCTGAGTTATTTAAAAATCACTTTGTTGTTGTTATTTAAGAAATAAAAAAATTGCTTCAAATGTTTAGAATTTGTATTTTTTAAACATAAATCATAATTGAAAATTCAAAAGAATGTATTATTTTTTATTTTTAATTAAATCATATAAATGTAATTGATTATTATAAATTGTTTTTTTTAAATATTTTTTGACTTTTAAACTTAACCAATTTATTTAAGTAAAATTGGATTTTGTTGTTATAGTTATTTTTAATTAATAAATCTATATTTGATCATTGTTCTATTTTAAGCATACAACAAATTCTATAAATTACTATAATAAATTACTATAATTTACTATAACGAATTTGTAAAACATTTATACTACAAATTAATAATATCTATATAATTATTTTTACTAATAATTATAGAAAAACCAATAACTGAAATTAAATAACCAAAAATAAAATGGTAAAGTGTTTGTTTATTAATTGTGGATGGAACATATGTTTAACATTATGTGTAAAGAACGAAAATGATGAATAAAGCCAACTTGTGTGATTCAAAAACTCCTTCGCTGCAATTTTTCAATAAACACAAGACTGTTGAATGGTGCAACCCAAAAAACTAATTGAGAAAATTTGTGCAACTTTAGTTATAGTTTATTTATGGTATTTTAATTAGAGTAATAGTTTTAAAGTAATTTGTTTGTGTTTTTTTGTTTTCTTTATCAAAAACATATACAGTTAGCCGAATCAACCTTCTGCAACGAAACAGCCTTCTGCAGATTGTTTTTCAAAAATAACCATAAATAATAACAATTTAAACCATTTTTAATAGTATTTTTTTCAACTTCAAATAAATATGTTTTTATCTACAGTAATTTATTAATACACCTTCTGCAGTATATAATTGGTCTTATAAATATCAAAAAGTTAAAATAAAACCAAACTAAAAATGAACAATACCCAGTTAACGAACTTTACTGTTTAACAAGTGATTGACATGTATTGATCATCAAGTCATTCAAGTTCAATCATATCTTGTTCAGACTGCAACTGATCCAATTCTTCTTTTGTTAAAGGCCTTCTTATACCATTTTCATCAAACAATGGCATACTTAATATTTCTTTATCAGTTTCACACAATGTTTGTTCGGTGATA